GAGTAGCTTGTGTAGACAGTGTAGTGTTCGTAGCAACGTGTACGTGTTCAGGAAATAAACAGAAGGTAAGACATTTTAGAAATGTTTCGACTTTGTATATTGAATTGAACTGTGAAAATTGCATAGAGTTCGCGGATCATCCGTCCCATGTTACGCATCGAACCAACGTTCAGCAACCGAACCTGCGTGTTCATCCGGCCTACGTGCCTAACGCTTAGTCTAAACAAGAAGTTTGGAGCAACCTGACACACGATGTTCATTCGACCAGTACTCAAGGAGTCCATCAATGCACGGAAAGCATCGACACCAACCGTTTCAAAAATTCGCTCAAATAATTGTTGGTTTGCAATTGAAGATATTTAAGCCTCGAGAGTTTTACTCTATCGAAACTTTCGCAGTTCAATCCATGAGTCGACAGTCATGCTACGTGCATGTTTGAGGTTTTGTGTATTGTTGCTGACATTGAGCTTACGTGTTTACCAGAACGCGCATGTAAATAGTGTTTGCGAGAAGGATTATTCCAGTCGATGTTTAGTTTATTTTCAGTGTTCCACTGTTAACATTTATAAATACAAAGGGAAATATTTGTTAAGAAGAATTCCTCATGCTACTCATGGAAGCTTTAATCCTTTCGTTATCTCGAATAAACAAGCACACATTATCAACCAGTTGCGTTACGTTGCGTTACGTTTTTCTCTCACACAAGAGACAATCAATACTCTTGTTAACGTGCTTCAGTTCTTCTCTCACAGAAAAGAGCTTACTTTAGCCTTTTAATTTTTTAGTAGATTCGTTACGTTCATTGACGGCAATACAGCCCTTCACAATATTTTAGTCTTTGAATAATGAAAATGTTGCGTTACCATTCATGTCTCAAAGATCCCCCGGCAGTTCTCAACGTAAGTGATATGGCCTCATTAGAGAAAAAAGCAAATTCCATTTTCCAAGTTGCAATATTACTTCAGCCATTTTTGATGCCATTTCTAAACACCATGCACACTCTCGTTCCACGTTTTAGATCACCCGGAAAGAAGAAATAGGAGCCGGGGAAGGAGGCTCTTCTCGCACAGTAATTTTCCGCCTACCCTATTTTCCACTACAAACACAGTGACGGTTTCTTCAAGAGTTTCTACAGTGATTTCTATGGCTGATCTAACTGACTAATCGTGGCACTTTACTGTAACTTCACAATTCATTCCAATGCTACGCTCCCTAGCCAAAGCATCCTACGGAATCGCCTTTAGGCGTCTTGTTAAGTTAGCGTTTCGGGCGTATTAATAAAATTGTTGTATTGTTGTCCTGTTGTATTGTTGTTTCTTCAATTATTAGGTCCGTTATCGAGGTCCTCTCACCTTCCTCAAATGCCAAAACACCTGCTTCTCGCCAACTCGGCCCCCCAAGTCAGATAGCGCCGAGGAGGTATGGGGCCAGCTGGTAAATGGAGGGACAGCCGTGCTCGTTTGTCCTGGTGACCATTACTCCTTAAGTGAGCTACCCCATGCTCCCGTGACAGGCAGTATCCTAGCGACAGCCCTTGCATTCAACTACCGCATGTTGTTCAAGGAATTCCCCAGACCTTCAAGAACATTCCATCAAAGACGAGCCGTGGAAAAGTTTTGCAGCGGAGTAAAAGTGTTTCTTCACTCAAAGAAAGGTAATTTACTCTGACAACGTTTCAATAATGGTAAGTTGGCTGACTGCTATTACTTCGCCTCCGAGTATCTTTGTGTCGTTCAGAGAATGGTTTGAAGGCGCGCTGAATTTTTATTCCTATAGAGCAGGCAAATCCGACAGTGATGGTTTGATTTTTTGCTAGGCAAATGACTAGAAACTATTAGGAATTAACGAGCACTAGAAATGGAGGTGAAAGGCAATATCAACAAAATTCAGATACGCGAGTGTCACATTTACAAGTGTGACACATATTCGTTGCATTCTTACATCAATTTCATTGCAACATATATTGTACTTGGCACCCATAATTTGAGTTGTCACGAATCGCCTAAACCCTGAAGGAGACAAAGAACGACAATTAAAAAAAAACAAATGATTTCTTGAATTGAAGGAACATTTTCCACAATTAATTCAGATGACCCGACAGTGCTTACATCCTTACATTAATTAGCTGAGCTGTTTTTTTAACTTTTATACCCTCTTCCTTTTTAGGCAACAAATGGCCACACTTTGGAGATCTTTTCTTCGACGAGGGTTCTTACAAACTTGAGCTGAAGTCAAAAGTGGACGATGGAGGAACGGATGAGAACGAAAAAACCAAAAGGATAATTGACCTGAAAGGTAACAAAACTAGTTAAGCTGTTATTTACTCGTAGAATTGACGTAGTTTTCTTGACTACAGAATGTTGCAGAGTTTCGAACAATTTAAGATTCTTACCTTACCTTAGATTTGCCTTATGAAGTCTACTTCAGGAAATAGAAAATGACGGGGTTTACGTACATAGCTTCATACCAACACGAATGATAGTTTGGGAAAATTCGAATTCATCAGGCTATGAAGATAAGAACGGTCAGGTGTCTTTATTCCTTTAACAAAGTCCAATGATGCGACCAAATCCTGTTTATATAGCCTTGTGCCATACGCCTGTCAGTTGGCACGTGCAAGTCTCAACCAGTGTATTCTTAGATTTTATTTTTATAACGATAAGTTACTCATTATAGATGTAATCGTCGAAAAAGAACTATTCCATTAGACCATAGCATTCGTTACCTTAGTGTGACGACTGAAAACTTTACAATACTACTAAATCTCTATTAAAAACCGAAACTAAACTAACTTCTAGTCGCTGAGGGTCGGCCTTGTTTGGAATAGTAAAACTTATGACTTGCTAGTGAACATGTGACTCCATTTCCAAGAGAAACTGGTGCTTCGTGCGCAGGGTTACCAATATGTAAAACTAATGCGGTAGTAAATTCTCACAAGAATCCTCCTTTTCAGGCCTCCGCATGGTGCAGCCAGGACGACTCGTCTCCAGTGCCCAGAAGTATGCCTGGCGCAAGCGAAGAGTCGGAGCTGATCAAAGTGGGAACCTGGGACAAGTTGCGTCCGTCATAACAGGTCGGCGAGTTTACAACTTGGAATTCACTGATTATTCCGATTTAAAAGCGTTTTATAACATGATAGAAGCTGTATTTGCAGTGACATTGTTAACCAGTTAGACCTGTAGTGGCAAACACGTGTTTTGATTTTTCTAGCTTTAACTTTTCGACCATTTGTGTTCGAATTCAGTTATGTTTTTACACAAGTATCATAAAATATATTTACAACAAACTTGCTTAGTTGCAACTTTACTGATCCTTGTTGTTCAGTCAAAATGACAGAGCCATGGAGCGATTTACCTCGATGCTTCTGTGATATTTTACTGTTAGTTGCAATTTAGAGGTTAGCAAGTAAATTTTTTTAAACCTAGCATAAACTTGATTATTTGCAATTAATTAAATCCAAAACAGTCATTTTCCCTCTGTTTCTGTTTCATTTGACTATTGTGCGAGAAATTTTACTGTAGTATTTTAAGGTCTATTTTTTTAGCAAAAAGGAACTCACTTTCTGTAGAGTTAAGAAGCAAGTGATTGTAGCTAAGTAAGTTTAGATTTCACCTTTCATACTCAACTTAGTTCTCTTACTCAGAAACTAAAAATCTACGTAAAATTGCTGTGAAATCGCTGTCATTCGTAAGTATAGGGACCTAATTTACTTTGACAAAAATAATGGATCAGTATAGATTGCTTCACACCCACCAATTATGTTAGTTTATCCAAAGTCAGCGTTAGATAAGAGTGTTTGATTCCTTTTCACTTTATAACTATAAGGAAACACTTAGTTTCAAACTAGTTGTAAATTAGTATAAGTTTCCACGGGTCAATGTTGTCTCGCATTCAAGACTATTTTAGTTACCTTTTTATGTGGCTCTTAATTTTTGAACAGATTTTCGCCGAGTTTTAATGTAGATTTACTTATTGGAATATTGTAGGTTTTTTAGTTTAGCATAGTTTGTGTCAACATACGGTATGGGAAAGAGTCTTTAATGCTTGGTCCCTTGGCCTGGGAGTTATATCTAGTTTTTTCTCCTTAGAATTTTGATGACCCACTCGACATTGTCTATTAATTAGTTAGAAACGAAAATGCCTCTTTACTAAATAGTTGCTTATTCCAGGAAACGCTGTCTTGGCATATTACGAGATTCTGAAAACAGACCTGAATAGAAGTGGGCATCAATTGTCCGGAAAATTAATTAGTATTTCTAATAATGATTGGGAATTGAGAGCTTGTAGGGCAACGCAGGCGGCGTGAGAGCAAACTGTTAAGTTTTCACAAAAAGAAAGTTCTGAAGAAAGTTTTGCAGGCAATTGTCTTAGAACATTGTAGTGCAATGACTTCAACGGGGACAACCTGAGAGTTTTAAAGCAATCAGACCATAATTTTGAGCCATAAGAATTTTAACCTTGTTTGTGATCTCATCCATCATATTGTAGCATCTTGAATGTCAATCGTTGGAACACACAATTCTGGTTGGCTGTAAATTACATACAAATTGCGTTTACTTGAGCAGCAAAACAAACGCCGGAGCGACAAAAATAATTTGAACTTAGCACAGACAATTTGAATGGGCGCTCCTAGCGCCTAGTGCTCCTAGCAAGTAGGCGGAATATGTCGTTGTTCTGTTGTTGGTGTCGGAATGATATTTACCACGGAGTTAAAAATTACTTTCTAGCTGTCTTTAGAGGATTGGCCGACTTCCAAACTGTGTTCGCAATCATTATAACAGTCGCTAGACAGTGCAGAGTTGTTTTCTCCACGCTGGGTCGCACTTTTACGGCACCACGTTCAAAGTTTTAGCGTTATTTTGTTGCTTTGTTCGAACTGAAAATTGTTTGCTTCAAATAATTATTTTACCTCTGGACCTTGACGAGTTGTGTTCCAAGCGCTGGTCTCAAAGAAAATTACTTTTATTGCCTGTTTATCGCGGGTGCTGTTGAAGTCAATGAAATTTGAACGCATTCAGCAGCAAATGAAAATTTTCCATTCCAACGGCTAACCATGGCACTGCTAGAACATGACTGGTGAGATCACAAACAAACTCACAGTCTTCCATTTACAATCGTACTGTGATTGATTGAAAACTCTCAGGCGGCCGCGGTTTGAGTCGTTGCACTGTAAGCGTTTTCACAATATCATTATAGTGCTCTAAACTCAGCGACATATAAGTTATAAGGAAACATTTTGATGAGATAGGAAATATAATTTTTATGTACAGCAAGGATTATAATAAAAAGAGGGATAAATTAACCGAGGTAACGTTTGTTTTATTTAAATTTACGATGTTAGCTGTTGGATGTCCTTTATCAGTGACCTTTTGAAGCTCCTCTTACATTACACCTGTCTTGATTTGTCTCGAGTCAAATGTTAGGAGTCAAGAATTCCTCCTGAGTTGTTTTGTTGCAGCATAACTTCATAAGACAACATGCCGAATGCTGGGAAATATATGCCCTTCAATTAGATATCCAACTTTGATTTCCATGTTAGTGGTCTGAGGTGTTTCCTAAAGTAGAAATTAAAATGACTGTATTATTATATAAACTTAACTTAGAAACATTTTGTTATACTGAAAACTAACGGTTGTATGTGATACAAAGAAAGAGTGTATGTTACATCTGATGAAAAAAGGCATGCAAAGTTGAACGTATTGTACGCGTTAATCATGAACAAAGAAACGAAGATACCATTAAGTCTTGAACAACTTCACCCCTCACTTAAAATGGCGCAAGAGCAATCACAAGGAAGTTACATTTATTAATAGACGCTGCCGGGAAGCCGTTTTTTTTTTTTTTTCTCTGAGGGTCACTTAGATGAGTGTTTAGCCCATCGCGAACAAAAAAGGACAATATGGCCGAGAGGGAATGAGGCGTGCCGCGCTCATGTCTCGTCCCATTCCCCTTTAGGCTACGTCTCCCCTTATATCCCCCGGTAAATTTCGAGTGAAAAACAGACTGCCAGCAGTCTAAATTTGATTTATTACAGACATATGACTTCTTGACACTTGCTAAAAAGAAAATCGTTTGTGGCAAAAGAATTCGAAGCTATTGTGAGAGACACTGCCGTCGCTTGATTACAAATTTTATCATCGGTCTGGACAGTGCATGCGTATCTCATTTACCTAGAACAGTTATATGTCCTAAAAAGTATAATGCGTCTGTCTTATGTTTTATGCCTAATGCGTTTTATTTTCCCTATTAGCCGAGATTACCATTTGCTTTCGGCTCGCACTAATGTCTGCATTCGAACAACCTAGAGCATTTCAGTGTTTAATCTAAAATTGTGATTTATAAATTACACAAATACACGAATGAAGTGTAACTGAAGCGAGACTATTCTCTTCACTCTTTAACCGATTAGTGTTTTTTGGATGTTATATTATTCTGCTTCATTTGAGTTAACAGCTGCAGTCTCTCATAATTTTCACTAAATACGGAATCGTTTAGGACTGGAGAAAACTGAATGCGTTGATCGTAACCATTAAAGCGCCTTTGCCGTTTTACCTTGGCCTTACACTCGGAAGACTTGGAAGCCTGTGTCATTGACGTCAAACAAATCGTAATGTTGTGTTATGGCAGCCCATCTATTGGTGGCCTACGTGACTTTCGCTGCGGTGTATTTTGACTTCCTTACTTCAGGACGTGCAGATAAGCAGGCTTTTTCCAACATTATCTAAAAAATTATTGTGGCAAAAAGAGCCGTTTTTTTCAACGTCAAATCAAAGTAATCTAAGAAATGAACGAGTAACAGTCCCTGTCTTAATGAAGTTTAAACGATTTAGCTTTGTACTTGGTTATATTCGTTGTCACTGTTTTTAACTTCCTGGTGTTGACTAAACAAGGAAGCGCAAGTTTTCTGTGTTTTTTTTTCGGCGTACAGGACGGTGATATGCCTGTCAAATAACGCAAATAAAGAAAAAGACGCAGTTTTGTGGTTAACGCTTGATTTAACCTGATCAACGCAATCAAGACGCCCAGCTGCTTTGAGATTATCGCTTGCCATAACTTAAGCGCGTAGAACGCGATACTTTTAAAGCCTTATCGCTCTTCATCTGGAGCAAGCTCTGATTCTTTGGAAACGTGTAAACGCGAAAAGAGTGCAGAACCAGTGTATGACAATTTTCGCAAATGGTATTTTACTCATAAGGTGTGAGACTTGGCCTTGAGTATTTCCAACACTACTCCCTGCTTCAGTGAACAACAATTAATGTTTGTGTTTTCGGGTTATAGTAATTTCAATTCTCTGTGGTTGCATGGTTTAGACCTTTGGTTAACAAAAACACTTTTTAACTTAATAAGGATCTTAATAGGGGTCAGCTGCGTTTTCAATCCGTCAATCAAGCTCAGCCTGCACGATCTAAAATATCATGGTGGCCAACCAACAAAAAAAAAATTAACCGGGACAAGTGAAAAAATGTCTCAATTGAAGTAACAGTCTCTCTCCTAATCATGATTTAGAAGGTATATTTCTGTACTTGGCAATAGTTGTTGCAACTGTTATAAACTTCCTTGTGTTGAATAAACAAGGAAGGGCAATTCTTGGAATAAAGAATGTTAATATGTCTACCAAATGACGCAAATAAAGGTGAACACGCTGTTTTGAGGTTATAACGCTTGGTTTATCGTGGTGAATGTCACGAAGGCGATATCATTGAGATATTTTCCTGCCCTGACGGGTAGATTGTGATACCTTCAAAGCCTCATCGCTCTTCAACTGGAGTTTGCAGAGCTTACAGTATTAGGCACTGTTAATTTAAAAGAGTGTGATGAATCGATCAAATAGAGACATCACATGATCCTCACTGGGCGTACCCCGGGCATTTGATTAGCTGATGCGTCCCACGGGCACGGGAATGTGCGTCAGTTGTTGATTCTGGGGTGGGGAATTTAACACTTCATGGGAGGGGTAGGGTGGGATTTGAACAAGTTGTATCGATATCATCATGAGGTGTTTGAGAAGGCATCAAGAAACAACACTGTTCTTTGTTTACTTCGTGGGTCAAAAGCAATGCCGTCAAAAGGTTTTTACAGTGTTTAAGAATGGCTGACTGTTAGGATCGAGAAACGCCGGTCAACGACCCATTTGGCAAATCGCTCATATTTTGCCCAAAGATACCCTTAGGTGACCTAATTCTAAAAATCATATTATAAGGTTCCAGCGAATTTTTATTTTTCAGAAATTCGCGAAAATTTGAAACCGCGGTCAAAGTGCGGTTTTTCTTGTAATAAAATGACCGAAATAAGGTGCGAGGACGAAGCGCTGCT